TCGGTGAAAGTATCGAAGGAGTCGATGCTTTTCCTCTCGAAGAGAAAGAAGGAAAAGAAGGAGGGAAGGAAAAAGGAGGAGGAGGATGATCTCGAAAGAAGATTCCTGCGCTTTTCGAATTCCGATGGCCAAAAATGGCCGTCACGGTGGGAGGGTAAGAGCGGCTGGAAAACTCGTGCATTCCATTAGTTGGTGTGGAGGATCGAAGGAGAGGAACGCGTGACAGAAGAAACGGAAACAAAGAGCGAGCGACGCGGGGGGCGACGCAGACGCCGGAGAGAGGTGTTCGAGAATAATAAAGGCACGATCCAAGAGCAGTAGTAGTAATAGTAGTGGTGGTAGTAGTAGCAGCAGCAGCAGCAGTTACTTTTGCGCGATTTATCTAATGCTTCCTTATCGGGCTCTAACTCCAACGTGGAACACCTGGGAACTCCTTCTCCTCGCTTTTTTTCCTCTCGCTCTCCGCTGCTCATGGGAAAAAGTATTTATCCGATGATGCGACGCCGAGAATAGACCGCGGCGGCAGCGCAACCATTCCCGATCGCCAATTGTCAACGACGCTCGTCGGCCACGTTTTATCTCTCCCTCTCGTTCCTCTTCTCGTTCGCATCCCCGGCTCATTTCTTTTCCTTCCCCGTTCCACCAACCTCTCGCGACAAAGTTTCACGATCGATCGAACGAAATTGCCGATTCGAAACTTACTGGCATTCGTCACGGGTAACCTTTCGATTTTGATGGAACCGTCCGTGTCGGGCGTGGGCGTGAGGCCGGAGTAAGAGCCCTGTGGTTGCGTCACTGTCACCGCAGGATGAGGACTCGTCTGCGCGGGGAATAAGAAATAAATATTAATCCCTTTAATTAAATTAATCTCTAAATTTCTATGTCTCGATGTCCAATCGAGAAAGGGGAAAAAAAGTCTTACCAAGTGGTCCAGTTGAGGTGGCGACGTGTGGGAGTAGATTGAACCGTGTGGACCAACGGGACCCAAATGAAGGCCTAATTGGCTCTCCGCGTGGTTCCTCAACACGTTTATGGCGTCGTCCAATCGTTCCTCCATCCGCGTACCCTGTACCAACAGAATATCCGAAATTCCAACTCGATTACACATTGTCTGTTTCGTTCCAAATTTTCTTTCCAAAGGAAAGAGTTTTCTTCCCAGTGATCCCAGCGTCAACGACACGGCTCTCGTTCGCGGGTGGTAAAATTTGAAGAAACATTCGAAATCCCGAGCACGAAGAGATATCTTTGACGCTGGTACCAATGGATCTAATGTAACACGTACAAGGCGATGGAGAAGA